CTCGACCTCAGTCTGAAGTCAAACACGAGGCTGCTGCTTCCAGACACGACTGTGATTCATCGATCAAACAGATATTAACTATTAACTGTTACTCAGTTAGTTGATGAGTGATTTCAGTTTTAATATTAAACCAGATGTTCAGGGCGCAGAGTATCAACACAGAGGTCAGAGGTCAGAGTGAGAGGACGATTGTATTCAGGTGTGTCCTTCACTGAACGTTGCTGCAGCAGCTTCTGGAGCTTTCTGTCATCATGTCTTCATCATGTCTTCATCATGTCTTCATCATGTCTTCATCATGAAGCGTCGTTGGCTCGGAGCGGACGTGTGGACGCAGCAGCTGAAGTAAACAGCTCAGGTGAACCTGTTGAAACACGTCAGTGTTCACACCCTCAAACCGTCGTTAGCTGCTGGTTAACGTCGGGAGCTGCTGAGTAATCTGGGGGATGAGCTGTTACATCACTCTGCAGTAATCCTGCTGCTTTACCTCACATGTGACTGACGGGGGGGTGGGGGGGTGGGGGGGGGTTAGGGCTCTTCAGGTGAGAGGTGGAGCAGCCGGGTCCAGCAGACAGAGACAGGAAGTGATCGTGTTTACATCACAACACCGTCGTCAGCTCTTATCACCACAAACTGTCGTCACGTCTTCGTCTGTGTCACCAGAGACGTTTGTTAAAATGCTCAGAGGTCAGTTTAGCTTCAGTGAGTAGAGGAGGCCAGAGACTGATCCTCACTCAGCTGCACGAGGACGGTTTATCTCATTACTCAGCAGATGTTAACATCTGGAACGCACACATACAAAGTGTGTGGGGGGGGGGGGGGGGGGGAATCCCAGCGCTCTGAAGCTTTGACACTTTCAGGCAGAGAAAGTTTGTGTTCATCTGTTTTGAGATGAAACGTCTGTTCAACGAGTCGATTCCTTTGTTCACTCAAATACTTTTTATTTTCGGAGCTGACGATGAAAATCTGTGACATTTGATTTGAGGAGAGTTTTTCTGCTGCAGAGGGAAAGGCCCTGAACCTTCGGTCGATCGGTGATCAGATCAGCGTGTGTTCATGTGTTTGAATAAAGCTTTAATCCTCCAGACTGTGGATCTGATCTCAGACCTGCTCAGTGACCTGCTCCAGTTTTTTTTGGTTCGTTTCCTCGGCGGTGGAAGTCGGTCACATTCCTGAGGATCTGGGTTTCCAGTCGCTGCAGCTGCTGATCACAGAGGATAAGAAACGTCACAGAGCCGAGTCCTGACGAATCCTTCTGCTCCATTTCACTCATCCTGCTTTTTATTTTAATCCTCTTCTCTCCTCAGTCTCTCAGATCCCACAGAGGAGAGTAGACGTCTCAACTCTAGTGTTTGAGTTGGATCGGGTTTATTTTCAGCTGATTTCAGGTCTGATCCTCGTCCCAGTTTCCTGGTAACAGGAAAACAACGACCACGTCCTTATAAGGCTGTGAGAGAATGGGGGGGGGGGGGTGTCACACAGGGAAGCGAGGCGAGCGGAGCAGGAACGTTAATGATCCGTTTACCTGCTCATGTGTTTGAACGGGGGGGGGGACATTCCTGTTTGTTTATGTCAGGTCTTTGTGTGGGGGGGAGGGGGGAGGAGTCTGACCTAATTCCGGCAGATGAATGAAAACATTGAGAAATTCCTGCTGCGTCAACGTCACAGTTAAAACACAGACGATTAAAACGAAAGAACCGTTTCATCAGAGTGAATCAGGCGACCATCTTGGATTCCAGTACTTCTGTCGTGGATTTATACACAAATATGAAAACAGATGAGATGATTCGTTGTGACAGATTAAAGTGACAGAGCTGCTGTCTGTTAATCTGGATTAAAATCTGGATTAAAATCTGGATCATCCAGTGAAGAGAGACTCAGAGTCGATCCGCAGGTTCAGAGCTGCGAGCGTCCCAGTTTAAAAAGTGTGTGTGTTTGTGTGTTTGTGTGTGTAAACCAGATAACGGGACAGGAAGTAGATTTATTCCCGACCACCTGAGAGCGGCTGTGTTCCAGTACGTCACAGGGTCAAGGAAAGATGTGAAGGAGAAGCTGTAAGGAGTTAGGAAAGGAGTTAAGAACGTACCAGAGTAAATGTAGTTTACTTTGATTACAGTGTGGAGACGCTGCCACCTAGAGGATGAATCATGAATCTCACCTGAAACATGATGACATCAGATTGTGGGTGTGTGTGTGAGTGTGTGTGCGTGTGTGTGTGTGAAGTGACTTCCTGCCCGTTGCCTCGGTAACTAACAGCTGATTGGTTGTGTTGCAGGTGAGCTGCTGACTCAGCCGCGGCCTGAAGGTCTGACGGAGATCATCTGTCCAAAGAACGGCTCCGAGCGCGTGGACGTGGCTCTGGTTTACCCCCCGACCCCCACCGTGGTCAGCCCCTGTCTCAAATAGCCCCCCCCCAAAAAAGACAGCCTCAGTGGGGCTGCAGCTCACTGACCTGATGATGTCACACCTGTACGTGATAAACTTTATCCACACAACACTTTGAAGACAGTCACAGAAAACTGGTCTTTATTTTGTTTTCTTCTTGTGTTGCAGGTTTAGACGTTTGTGATGTCATCGTACTGACCCTGACACCCC